TTACAATATTTCAGTTTCACGCAATACAATACCACTGTTTCACACAATACCATACCTCTGTTTCACACAATACAATATCACTGTCTCACACAATACAATACCTCTGTTTCACACAATACAATACCACTGTTTCACACAATACAATACCTCTGTTTCACAAAATACAATACCACTGTTTCACACAATACAATACCTCTGTTTCACCCACATACATAGGCCACATACAGTGTCTCACATTGCAATATCTCAGTTTCACACATAAAATATCTCAATTTCACACACGAACAGAGTTTCAGTGACTCACATTACAATAATTACAATATCACAGTTTCACACAATACCTCTGTTTCACACACATACATAGGATCAGTTATTCACATTACAATATCTCAGTTTCACACAAAACAGAGGTTCAGCTACTCACATTACAATATCTCAGTTTCACACAATACCTCTGTTTCACACACATACATAGGGTCAGTTACTTACATTACAATATCCCAGCTTAACACAATACAATATCTCTATTTCACACAATACCTCCGTTTCACACACATACAGAGGTTCAGTTACTCAAATTAAATTATTTTTGTTTCACACAATACCTTAATTTAACAAACATACAGAGGTTCAGTTACATACATAACAACATGCCAGTTTCACACAATACAACGCCTCGCTTCATGCATTATTGTATTCAGTGAATTCTGCACTGAAAATCGCTCACAAAGAGAACAAATCAATACATATTAAGCAAAAAACAGTACACACTGTACACGACCTGCACATTATACAGAAAAATCATGTATGTATTTTTACAAAATACAAAAATAACTTCACTGCGTTTTATGTTCCTGTGTTCTGATCAAATCGTATTGGTCAACACAAACCTAAAAACATAACATACATGTGCATCTCCATCACAGCGTCTAGACTACAGATTGGTGGAACTCTTCAAAATAACCCACGGGGTATATTACACAAATCATTAATTTGGAATAACATATATACTGATATTGTTGTTGTTTCTTGGCAAATATAAGTAGTCATGTAAATAATACAGGTATTTATACAGTATGCTGTGTTCTTCCACTATTATATATCGTTACGGGATTTAATTGTACAGATATTGTACAGGTTTGTACTATATCATCGTCCTAATATCAGTTCCTCAAAATATTGCCACAAAATGACATCAGGATTATGTTCAGGGAGACAACGATTACCTCTCATTTATTTCCTTGTCATGCTTTCCTTGGCTATTATCTGATCTCAGATCTCAGGCCTCGGACAAATATTGGCTTTGGGACAGATACCTTGCATGATTAGAAATTAGCGAGAGAAAATCTGCACACATTAATCAGTGTCTCAGTGCATTGAGGTGATCATGCAAGTTTACCAAATAAGAGTGAGTGAGTTTAGTTTTACGCTGTTCTTAGTTATATCACAACAATATCAAGGCGGGGGAAACCAGAAATTGGCTTCTCTCATTGTCCCCATATGGGGAAATGAACCCGGATCTTCGGCGTGACGAGCGAACGTTTTAACCACTAGGCTACCCCACCGCACCGTAATTTTAAGAAGGCATATTGAAGGCATAAAAATCAGATGAAGATTGATCTGTGATCTGAAAGTGTCCAGGGTTTTATTGTTCTTGATTTTGTATGAATGTGATTTCCTCAGAAAGACAGGGCTGACTTGTTCGAATTTTCTGTCGCCTTCGGGAACCCGGAACTGGAGCTGATCGGCCGACCGAACGTTCTGTGTTTCTGTTAGATGTTAATTAGACGCTCAAGATAGACTGGTGACATACAGTAGAATGACCAAAACACATCTTGTGCCCGACACAATGAGTTCATCATATTCAGCGCAACCAGATGTCTGAATTAACATACCATTGAATACCTTGTCCAAATCTGTAGACGTTCGTATAATCAACTTTCATGGGGTTTTGTGTTAACAGTTTATAATTAGTATGTCTTCATCGATTGAATTATGCTTTTAGAATAAGCTAATTTTCAGTTTTCAGTCTCTAGTGAGACTTACCGGTTCACAATTTTCCACATTTCACAGTCAAGTTGGTCTTGTTCGACAACACATTATGCGGACTATTACAATGTAGACGTGATGCCAAATTCCTAAATGGATGTTAATGTGATTTAACTACGCATTACAAAATTAGAGTTACGTATCCCATTCATTGTGTTAGGTTACCGTAACAGTGACGTTGCTAGCAACTTTGTTACACGGTACGTTACGCTTTCTTACACGTTGAACTTCTATGATTGCATTTATACCACTGACGAATATACATAACGGATCGTGCGGGTATTCTATAGTCAAAACCTCATGAATCTAAATACCCTTCATATTGGAAATACCCCCTGTTGTAAGTACTTTAGAGGTTGATGAACTGCTAAATGTGTGTTTGTTTACTCTACTTAATGTATCCTCCAGGTGTTGGAAAGAACTTTGTAGGATTTGGGCAAAGATTGTGGTGTTTGAAGATATCAGAATAATTTCCGTGTACAAGCTCTGTGCTTGTCACTGACTTTGACCATGCCACATAGTGACAGTTGATGATAAATGGCCAACAGATGACCTTAACTTTTTTAATTCTAAAATTGTTATTTTTTCGCGAAGCAAAGTCTCATCACTGATTGTTAAGTGATCACATAATTGTCACAGTTTGTGGGCCTTTGCGTCCAGTGAATTGCTTCGGTGGACACTCGAGACCAGGTCCCTATGGCTTTGAGGTTTTATAATTATTTTTCATTGAGACGAGGTCAAGTGGTCTTTTAGATACTAAATTGTCAATTGATTCACCAGCACCATGTTCTAGCTGGTACATAAGTCCTGGCCTGCGTAAAAATATCCTCCCACAATAAACCTTTAAACTAAATAATATATATATATGAACAGATACGATGTGTGTGTGATTCAGTATTAAACAGTACCAGAGAATAATCTTTTCAGATTTTGTGCCGAAACAGGTTGATGTATTTCAATGAGATTCCAAAGCGAGTCAATAGTAAAGGTGGCATGAATAATCACTGAAAGGGTGTTTACACTCGAAGGGGCAACGTTAATGTCACGTATGTTGTCATTGACTATAAATTTCTAAATACTGCTGAGTTTATGTAGTGGACTTCAGCCCGCCAGAAGAAATATCGACCCAGTGTAACTAAATATATAACGTTGATGTCAACAGATTCCAGTGAGTGTAAAAAAGTGATCACAGTTGGTGAAATTATATCATCGGGTCACTGATAATGAATAATAATATCAGGTGACCCCAAGAAGGGTAAGATACAATTCTGTTAAATAGATATTGTAAAACCAGAAACTAAAACCTCTAACAATAAAACAAAAGCGTTCGCTTAAATCAACACACTGTCATTCACACTAAATTCCTTTTGTAGGTTATGTCCAACATCCTATACAAAATCAAGAAGAGATGCAAATTTGTTTCTTGTGAAGGAATAAGGAAAGTGTCTCTAACTGCAAGTAATGATGAGGACTCTTCGACAGGTTCCAGCACTGGGTTCCTTCTGCGTAGGAAGAGATGTTTTCCACAATCTTTTTTTAAATTGAACGTATCACGCCAATTAACTTTTTCCATTTAAATTAAGAATGTAATACAGTGTTAGAATTTGCTTCCAGTAGCAGTGCCTGTAGTAAGAGACGTGGTGGCTTAGTAGACTGTGTGTTATCATACATCGATAACGCCTGGACGTTGATCCTAACATTAATCACTGGTTTCTCGGGTCCAGACTCGATATGTAAGGGCGAGCGTTAACGCTGGAATAGTAACTGTAGCGCCAGTGTTTATAATGTATCAACGAGTTTACAGTTTGTCAAGAATCTTACATGATTTTCAACATATCAACAAATTTTACAATGCATCAACACAATTTACAACATATAAATAAACTTAACGACACATGTACCTTACTACAAATAAACAAACATTGCAATGCATCAACAGAATTCACAATATATAAATAAGCTTTAATGTACTTAACTACAAATCAATGAACTTTACAATTCATCAACCAACTTCACTAAATATGAACGAACCATAAAGCACATCAACAACTTTAGTGCATATCAACAAACTTTACCATGCGTCTACAGACTTTACAATACATCAACAAACCTTTCAATGCATGAAGAAACTTCACTTCTATCAGCAAACGTTCCAATGTATCAAGGGGCGGTGGGTAGCTTAGTGGTTAAAGTGTTTGCTCGTCGCGCTGAAGGCCCGGGTTCGATTCCCCTCAAGGATACACTGTGTGGAGAACATTTCTGGTGTCACCCACCGTGATGCTGCCAGAATATTGCTAAAAGCTTAAAACTAAACTCACTCGTATATATCAATACTATTCACATATCAACAAACTTGATCCACAGAGCTTCCAGTGCAGAACAAACCTTACAATGTACCTAGTATATTTTCAAGTCTCGGCATTAGCACTCTCTGGCAGTAACTCTGTGCCGCAATCCAGCACCAAACATCGTCTTAACAGACTTATCCGACTTCGAGGTGTGCGGGAACCAAATGATTAGAATAGTATCCCATAAATCTGTTTTCTATTACGAGTCTCAAATATTGAGTTATTGAAATGCGAAAAACACAGACAACAAACTCTCCAGACGTGCATGCATCCACGCGCCTAAACGCACACAAACACGTGTTGCCCAACCTACATGGGCAATCACGCACAGCCATGTTGCACAACAGAGTCTATTCCGAGCGGATCATCTCACCGCAGACCACAAAACGACCATTGTGTCCAGCGACCCAGCTCAGAGACAACTGAAAACTTATTAGTGGGACAAGTGTATCCTGGCCTAGTATTTAGCACTCCAAAGTGTATTATTTGACTCGTGCCATGTTCTCCAGCTGATGAGAACATTTCCGACCAAGCTTTCGATCCCCTAATTTCCACGATCAATAGTGCAGCCGCCATATTGAATGCCATGCCGCGGTTGACACGCGCATTCGCCCAGCACGCGGGAAGGCATTAGGTTCATTAATGCCTTCGCTCGACACACGCGAGCTGTTGTACTCCGCCGCCATGCCAGCCATAGCATTACCCGCGCGATATCGAGCTAAGGACAGATCCGCTAGAAGACCACGATTACTGGAGCCTATACCATCAACGCCAACTGAAGTATAGAGTTGGTGGGACGCCTTTACAGTCAATGTAGAGACCGTTGGTTGATAGAACTCTGTGACCAGCTCAGAATGACGGCCCGTTGAACGGAAGTTGAACTTTATATGGAATCGTGTCTTTTCGGTTTGAAATACGGAGTTCCTTCGAACGAGAGTTAAGCATGAGCCAGTTTGGTGCCGCATATAAGACTTGTGCAAATCACATTCATCCAGGGATTATGGTCTTGGGACTTCGATTTGAGCAACCAACTAAAATTACTTAGGAATAGCGAAGGGTAAGTTGCCATGTGTTTAAAACGTCATACCCGCTTGCTCATCACCGTTAATGACTCTGAATTGAGGGGTATCAGTAACGTTTCGCAGATGCATATTGATTTTAAATCTTAATATTTTCATGGAGTAGATGTTTCAATGATGGTCTACATACTCGCCCGAACATGTAAATATACGAGTATATTTGAATCGTTAATCAACTCAATATTGCATTATTGAATGGACCTAACATTCTTTGACAACGCCTTCTAAATTACATCATAGAAACCTAAAGGGTTGTATCTGTGATAAAAACGAATTCCGTTGTATCTTTTATGTGTATTTTTGTATGGTTTTTATCGAGAAACCACTCCGTCATTTGGACACTTCATCGACTTTTGTGGATTGAAGAAACGAAGTGGTTCCAAAGTTTGTTCGAATGTTCCAAACGTGTTTGGTAGAATCAACAAACTTGAATTCTCTTGACGATATCGCGAAAGTTTACTGTCAATATACGCGTCTCATAAATCACATTACAACAGGATTGGTTCAATACGTTCCATGAATACATTGTAACGGCTTGAAAGTAAGTAGCAAATAAAGCAAAGAGTGAAAATCCGTTATTTCGGGAGATACCGCTCAAGTCGTCAGACAGTTGGACTGTGTACACCCAAAAAGTAAACGAAGATAAATTGAAGATTTCTTTTTGACTTTTTATCATTTTAGATGAAATCAGTTTATTAAATGCTTAAAACACTGACCTTACATATTCCTTAAGTTTAGATTATCATTACCTTTCGATAAAACATAAGTACCCGTGTCGCCATCTTATTTAATACATTTATGGGTTGGTCAAGAAGAAGGCTAGAAGTCAGGTAAATGATAGGTCAGATTGCTGTCGACCAGGTAGTTGTCGGCAAGAGTTACCCAATTACGGGTAGGTCTTGGTTCAGCTAAAGGAGTTTGGGAACTCGGGTAGGTACTAGATCGTCTTGAGGTAACATTTGGATTCACTGGCAGTTGTTTGGTTGTGTGCAAGTAGCATTTGGAGATACGGGTAGATACTGGATCGTGTTGGTGTAACATTTGGATAGACGGGTAGGAACTGGATTGTGTAGAGGTAGCATTGGAATACACGGGTAGTTGTTTAGTTGTGAAGAAGTAGCATTTGATACACGGGTAGATACTGTATCACCTAGAGTAGAGTGAGTTTGGTTTAACGCCGATTTTAGCAATATTCCATCACGGCAGGGGACACCAGAAATAGGCTTCACACATGGTACCCATATGGGGAATTGAACCCGGGTCTTCGGTGTGAAGGGAAGGCTTTAACCACAGGGTGGGGTGGGGTGGGGGTGGGGTGGGGGTGTAGCCTAGTGGTTAATGCGTGGCTCGACGCCGAAGACCCGGTAATCCCACATGGGGTACAATGTGTAAGCCCACTGGGCCATGTTGCTGGAATATTGCACCGCCAAACTCAGTCAGTTTAACCACTCGCCCCGGATCGTCTGGAGGTAGCATTTGGATACAGGCTATATGTAGGTAGGTGTTCGGTTGCCCTGAAGCAACTTGGGTAACACGGGTAGGTGTTGTGGCGGCTGGAGGTCATATTAGGGTGCACAAATAGTTTGGTACACGGGTAGGTTGGTTTCGGTTACCTTGAAGCAACTGTGGAGCACGGGTAGGTGTCGGGGCGGCTGGAGGTCGCATTTGGATACACAGGTACATGATGTTGGATGCACCGGTAGGTGTCTGCGGGGGCAACATTTGGATTCACAGGTACATGATGTTGGATGCACAGGCAGGTGATGTTGGATTGGATACACCGGCATGATGTTGGATGCACCGGCAGGTGTCTGCGGGGGTAACATTAGGATTCACAGTTACATGATGTTGGATGCACGGACAGGTGCCGGTACTGCGGGGGTAACATTAGGATACACAGTTACATGATGTTGGATGCACGTGCAGGTGTCGGTACGGCTAGAGGTCGCATTAGGATACACAGGTACATGATGTTGGATGCGCCGGCAGGTGTCGGTACGGCTAGAGGTCGCATTATGATACACAGGTACATGATGTTGGATGCGCCGGTAGGTGTCGGGACGGCTAGAGGTCGCATTAGGATTCACAGTTACATGATGTTGGATGCACGGGCAGGTGTCGGGACGGCTAGAGGTCGCATTAGGATACACAGTTACTTGATGTTGGATGCGCGGGCAGGTGTCGGGACGGCTAGAGGTCGCATTAGGATACACAGTTACATGATGTTGGGTGCACGGGCAGGTGTCTGCGGGGGGTAACATTAGGATACGCAGTTACATGATGTTGGATGCGCCGGTAGGTGTCGGGACGGCTAGAGGTCGCATTAGGATACACAGGTACATGATGTTGGATGCACGGGCAGGTGTCGGTACGGCTAGAGGTCGCATTAGGATACACAGGTACATGATGTTGGATGCACGGGCAGGTGTCGGGGCGGCTAGAGGTCGCATTAGGATACACAGTTACATGATGTTGGATGCACGGGCAGGTGTCGGGACGGCTAGAGGTCGCATTAGAATACACAGGTACATGATGTTGGATGCACGGGCAGGTGTCTGCGGGGGTAACATTAGGATTCACAGTTACATGATGTTGGATGCACGGGCAGGTGTCGGTACGGCTAGAGGTCGCATTAGGATACACAGGTACATGATGTTGGATGCACGGGCAGGTGTCTGCGGGGGGTAACATTAGGATACATAGGAAGGCGTCCAGTTGGAAGGTTCCTTCTTTACGTTTTTTCAGCACCAAAAATACAACAATCATACTTCGTCGGTACAGTTCGGTACACGACACAGTGTACTGTTTGAGAGCATTTTCTTACCCAAACATCATACAATATGTCATTCTGTCTGAAATACATATGAAAAATGTCAACTGTCAACAGAACACATGCATTTTGATACACGAAGAAAATGGGCTTATGAATTTGTCATTCATACGGAAAGTCTGCATATCTGCACACTTAACATGCACATGCCTTCATTTATGTACGTTATGGAAACAGTTAACATGAAAATTCGCAATGTAGCCTTTGATACACATACATTGTAGATTTATAAAATATTTTACGTGACATATGCGCAACAGCAATTCTGTGTAAATGTTTACGTAACAATATACATTTATCGCTTTAGTGTACTATTAGATATACGCGTTGATACACGGACGCACATATTTTACTCGAAATGCGTATAACGAACTACGGTTATAACGAACAAAATTTAGTGTCCATTTTCCGTTCATTTTAAGGGTAGTTGACTGTTCTGAGAGAATTAAATTAGCAAAGGAAGAGGTTGTAAATGTGTAAATCGCTCAATGCTTATCGGGCATTGCATTCCATTTAGAGATGTTCGCTTTGAAATATATCATTCTGAATGATGGAAGTTAATACAAATAAATACATCAGAGTTGTTACCGAAGATTTGTTAGTCGGCTGTCATTATTTCTATAGTAAAATACATCAATCTATAACTGTATATTGAATTATGAGTTTGCCGTAATATTCTGACCTTAATTTTCCACATCTGCAACTAGAAATGTAATTTTAAGGGTTCTGGGTATCTCATGTCATGTTCACCCTCAACACCACACTGATTTCTTTGCGATTTATTGGAAAGATGTTCCATTGCGCTACCAGACATGACAAAGAGGCAACAAATTCATCATCATCTTCATCACCATCATTTGTACCGAAACAGGTTGATCTCATGGCTTCATGAACATACATGAACACGTGTTGCCATTACATTCATGAAAGTAGACACACACACACACACACACACACACACACACACACACACCACCCTCCTTCACCCACGCCACAACAGCTGTATTTGAAGCCCCTGGTCACCTCCAAGCAGCCACTTGTACCGTATTCCATACAGCAGGAAGCGAAGAAGCGACTGCATTTGGTTCAATAAATGTCATCTAACTTATTAAATAAAACATTTCAATGACATTTCAGAAGCGTTGGTAACCAAGGGGACAGGGTAGACATGAATTTCAACTTAGGTTTTTTTTTGCAATGCTCGAATTGGCGTTTTTGAGTGAGTGAGTTTTGGATTTGGATAGACGGGTAGATACTTTATCATCTAGAGTGAGCGAGTGAGTTTGGTTTTACACCGCTTTTAGCAACAATCCAGCAATATCACGGCGGGGATACTAGAAATCGGCTTCACCCATTGTACCCATATGGGGAATAGAACCCAGGCCTTCGGCGAGACGAGCGAACACTTAACCACAAGGCTACCCCACCGCCCCGGCGGTTTAGAAGCTTGTGCGTGGAACATTCGTCATAATATCCATCACTGGTTTTGTCTATTTCAGACTTGATTGTTTACAGAACTCAACTTTACAGAATCAAACAGCTGAATACCATTGACAGCGTTACATAACAAGCCAAACAAACAAACAAACAATCCTTCAAACATCTACCCCCATGACCGTTGTTCTTACGAATCCCACGTTTGTAAACATTGAATCCGTTATCGCTGTATCCTTGAGATAACTCAGAGGTGTCCATCGCTAAAAGCTGAATCAGGATACAAGTCTGAAATATACATGATTAATGCGCAGACACTCTCAACATTGGAACGAAAATGTCACGACTCTGAACATGAACAATTAGTTTGCTCTCTGTCACGTTTGACACTCCAGAAAGACCTGGTTGTAAGTTGATCCACACATTTTCAATATAATTCCACAATTTTTACTCTGGTGATAAAGTTCTTTTTAGAAAGCTCGTGATAAAAATGGGATCAGGATGATTTTATCAAATATTAATTTCCGGCTTCGTAGGAAAGTGTCGGGTGTCTGCGTGAAGGAGACCAACAAGCAAAAATTGTTTGTCCAAAGAGTTGGAACAACAAAAACACACATCTGTACCAGGAACTTCATCGTAATATAACAGACGTGCGCAATTGAATACATCTGCATCCGTTTATGAAACGATTGCAACTATAAAGGAAAGGGGAAC